ATTTCAACTTTACTGACTCAACGAAGAATCTTGCAACTGCTCCAGAACTAAGAACAACTTTAAGTTTCAGGCTGAAACAAACTTCAGGAGCAAACAACTATCTCGGATCCCATATAAAATGGACATCATTGCATCAGATAATACTTCTGCTAATGAGATTGTTTCTGTGTAATGATGCATAATGACCATATGTGGCCTAGTATAATCTGATGGCCTCCGTGTTGCTAGTGGAAATGCTGTATTTTGCTCTGCATACTTGCTTTTGACTATCCTCGCAGAGCACTGCTGAGACCAACGAATGACTTTTAATATATTATAGAGCAAGAAACAAAGTGTACCAATGTTTTGTTTTTATTTTTTTTAAATAGCAAACAGCTTTCCATAGTTAAATTGCACACGTATTGTTGCCGTTTTTCAACATGAGTAGGAAACAAACCCCAATCCAAGCCATTAAAATGGAACAGAAAAAAAAGAAGAATGATGTTAAGAAAAAGCAAAACCAACCCAACGCTCCATCTCCCTCATGTCTGGTTTGATATCCAGCAATGGTATGATTTCATTGCCAGTTACATTTCCATGGTCTTGAAGGATGTGCAATGCACTTCTCCAGGTTTGATAGTTCCACCCACTCTTGGAGCAATTTCACAAAGTCAACGATGACTGAAAAAATAACTAAGTCTACAAAGTGAGACAGATTTGAAACCAGACTCAAGTTCAGTCAGGGCTATATTACACCCACTAGTATTGACAGAACTTAGTAGTAAACCTGTGAACCCAAAGCCTAAAACGAAAGCACGGTAGCCATTGCAATGTGAAATCCTGGATGCAATGCAATGTGTAACTTGCTATTGAAAACAGTATGTTTACAGCATAAAAGCCCCCTGCATAGAAATTACTCGTTTTCGCTCTTCAGTATCCTATTAGAGTTCTCATGGAACTGTAGTTCTGTCAGGTGCAGAAATGCAATTGACAGGTTTCCTGCCATTCACTGAGATATAACTTTTAGAGTTCTTTGATTGGGAATTAAAGAGGCTGAACAGAGGCTTTACAGTTGTACTATATAGCCATTCAGAGAGAGCTCTCAACTTGTTCCAATAGCTTTGCTCCATAGTACTTCACTTCATCTTGACAGCAGCCAGTGGTCCAAAATGCTGACATTATGTTTATTATTACTATTACTTTCAAAAAGGGAGAATGGAAGCAGAGTTTTCAGCCACAGAATCCAGAAACACAGACCAGTTTCACTGGCATCTGCTTCTGCTGAAAAGAGCTGAAACAAATTCAGGATTCTAAATTTACAAAATAAACAATAGTTTGATTACCTAATTAGAACATTTAAATTAGAATATACAATTGTCACAGGCTTCTAAATTAGGTTGGAGTCATTGTATATAATCTATAGAAATCAATAGCAAAGCTCCAATTAATTTGAATATAAAGACAGCAAATGTACATAAAGTTGTAGCTTTAAACATACTGCTAAACTACATTTCTATGCAATTATTGGTAAAGGAAAGGTAAGCTACTTTTCAGATGCCTCAAATTATTTGCTTTGTGTGGTCATGGGTGGGCCTACATTTTGAAGTGCCATATCCTATGATAAAAAATATTGGGCTGGATCAAGCCAGACCCAATGTGTATTAACTTAACCAACCTCAATAGAAAAGCATAGTTAAACCAACAGGATTTTAAAAGACTAAAATCTGTATAGCTCACAATTATTATTGAACCCATTTCAAATCTGAATTCATGGAATTACAATATTCGTAATTTTAAATGTGACATATTAGTTTTCTATTGTTTCAAAACTGATGCTGTACAGATGGTCCATTTTGCACATAAATTCCATTTTCACATTACTTTTAAATACTATGTTAGTTACTAAAAATAGAGGTTTTCCAGCAGTTATTTCATTTTTAATTTAAAAAAAGCATGCCCATGTATCTTCTGATATGGTTAAGACTGCTCATATTGTTTCCAACAGAAAAACTTCTTTCTCATTCACATGTTCTCCCTTCCCTAAATTTTAAAAAAAAAATCCAATATTTTTATTACCAGTAAGCCGACTATATTTTGATTAAGAAAGAAGGGGGTTAGAACCTGAAAATAATAGCTTGAATTCCAGATCAGTTCCCCCTGCCCTAATAATGGGGATACCTCTGATGCTAAAATATCCTACAATTTCTCCATAACAAATAGATTTGTAGGCTGAATCTTATTCAATGCCAGGAAGCATAATTGTTTTTACCAACGCCATTATTACCAGCAGTCTCCCATCTGTTATGAAATAATAAGAATGTACTTCACCCTCCAAGAAACTGTACTTTTTCAGCTCCTTAGTCCTGTGGAAGCAATATATTTTAGAATAGGTACAGCCGGGTTCTTAAAACTGCCATAATCCTTAATGACCAAATGGTCTTGAAAAGTCAGCTACTGAAGTACCAAATAATAAATTTAATGCTGGATAGGGTTAAGAAAAGTAGTACTATAATTTTTCCCCTCACACTATCACTTCCATATACAAGTTTATTTTAGGGAATAATTCCAAGCTTTTTCCATATGCCTCAAAGTTGTTCCAGAAGAATCATGAGTGTGTACTTTATTTCCTTTAAATAGAGACCTAATTTGGTGTTGCCCAGAACTGCAGGCCACAAAAACCTGCAGACTCTTGGAGAGTACATCAAATAATCTTTGAGGATGGATGCAGTCTAGAAACTGCCGGTTGGTCATCCATATTCTTCTAGACTGCTCAGTTCAGATCAAGGAAAATACTGCATTTCCTCCAAATACAAACTATTGATTTTCATGCTGCATTATCAGAAGCCTCAGGAGAAATGGTGTAGGCAGTGCAAACCAAACCAAAATCACATGCACATTTATTGTGCATGCCTCAATCACGCTTACTCTCAGGCTGATTTGGAAAGGCCTTGAAATCTCTAGAGAGAGAGAGAGAGAAAGACTGAGAGTGGGATCACTGTGAGAATAATTGTTAAAGACTTTTGTAGTGCATTAATATTTGTGGCATAGCACAAAGCTCTAAATTTAGATTCTCTGTTTCTGCAGAAGATAATACATGAATCCATGATGTGGGTAATTTCTAAAATTAAGAGCATGCAAAATATTCAAATTGAGCTCTTTCATTCACATAATCTAACGGGCACGTGTTTTTGTTTTCTCTGTACAGATTTGATCAGAAGAGAGTTTTTAATCACGCACAAATCATTGTATTTGCTGTAAAGTAATGTAGCACCATCACTTTTGCCCTGAGGATGTGACACTTTCCACACCAGAGGTTTGTTAGGAGAAACTAAGTGTACGAGAATATAAATATTTCAAAATGCATTTTGTAGCACTTAGGTTAACAGCTTTAAAGAAATGTAGGCAAGAAAAAATGGTGCAGAATTTTTCAGTACTGTAAATTCTATTTGGACACTGAGCCTTAACCTGAATGGACCCACTGAAGAGCTCCTTTAAAAGTTAACATCTATAAAATACCATTGTGGTGTCTCTAATAAGGCTATTATTTTTCAACATATTTTTATAACTACCCTAAATGTCCTAATTTTACTTTATTTAAATACATTCAAAGGCTATTATGACAGCTGGTTCTAGGCTAAAAATGCCTAGTTAGATGACAAGAAAGTTCAGTTTTAGATCAAAAGCAAAAGTAACTCATCAGAGTGAAGTTTTAAGTTGTTCTTTAGTATTTTCTGCTGTATGTATAATGGTCTACAGTGTTCTGCTTTAGTGTAGAAATGCAAAATAACACGACAATTATGAGTAGTTTTGGTTTGCTTACATTAATCGGTTCTACATTGCCACTAGTTGGTGAGTCACATAAGACAAGGCATAACTTAAAGCAGAGAAATGTTTTAGCAATTCTGTTGGTTGACCAAAAAACAAGAAAATAGAGCCCTACATAATCAGCCAACTGAGCTGATGACTGAGTTGTTGAAGCATGCCACAAATCCCTTCGTAAGCTTCTACTTATAAAAAAGTGTAATGTTTTTAAAATAAACTTTAACATCAGAAGGTTTACCTACTTTGACTTTTATGTCTAGGTTATTACAGCGTACAGAGTCAGTCAAGAAGTATTTTAGATACAAAAATAAGTAAAAAGGAACATCTAGAGTAAATCAGGTCCCATGTATAGATTTAAAAAAAAAATCTAGTGGCAGATGTTCCCACTTATGTATTATATTCCCCTCTGAATAACAAGCATTTGATACACTTCAATCTGAATTTCCATTATTACAAATAGTCCCTCCCTCCCTCCCCAACCCAATACTCTACTGATTGTGCCCTCTGTAGCTAAAAAATATAACTTCCATTACAGGTCTATAGATAGATAATAGCTTCTGTTTTAAAAGCTTGAAACAACTTGACTTATTGATTTATTTCAAAACATATAAGTTTTAAAATCTAAATTGATCTAGTGTGGTAGACAGGTGGTTGCAACTCCTTGAACAGAGAAATTTTACTTGCCTGCTAGATTGTCCCATGTTTTAGCTAGAGATCCTCCCTGGGAAAAGCAAGCACACTTACCCAAGAAAGGAAAGAAAGAAGGATGAGGCAATAGTCAATGATCTTATATACCCTAATGATAATTAGAAAAGGCCTGCTCTTCCAACCTCTTCGAATGTCCTCCCTTCTCCCACAAAGAAATTATCCCCTTTTCATTTCCCTCTAGCCCCAAATAGGAAAAAAAAACCTGTATTTCTTTAAAAGAACACAAATAGACACTGTATTATTATTATTTGTTATCTGATGGGGTATAGTGTTCCCCATATCAAATGTGTTACTTTTAGATACATCCAGCCCCAATTATTGAGATCTTCTTTTTCCCCCACCCTAACTTTTCAGTGAGACAGTGGGTCCCAATGCTAAAGCTGTCTCATTTGTTCATGGATTCTTTCTTGTGTCAAGTCCTGCAGCTCTGGGACCATCTTGTTCTTAGAGTTGGTTAATCTTGAACCTTCCAATCAGGGAACTGTCTTTCATTAAAGACACCCAGCATTGCTCCAGTCATTCATTTCTGTTTGCAAAGAAGGGTCATTGAGTTCAAATAGTGGATCCATGTTGACAGAATTTGAGAGGTAATCATTTCTCCCTTCATCCCAGGGATGCTGAAGAAAAGAAGTGGCAATAAATGTTTCATCAAAGTCCAAGCTACTCTGGTTAGATTCTGTGAGCACGTAATCTTGCCCAGCTGGGCACCACTCCTGGGGGCAATCAATATGTCTTCCATGCACTGTCAAGTCTACATCCCTGGTTATCGGACTGATTGGAGGAGTAATTTCCAGATCCTCAAAGGTAGAGAAATCACCATTTAAGGTGGTATCAAAGATAGCCTCCCAGTCAAAATCACCTTTGAGAGAGCCAAGCTCTGTCTGTTCTTCCTGAGTAAGCATAGGGGAGCTGGAGAAGCGGGCTGCCTTATACATTCGTTTTGGCAGCGGCTGCTTGCGTTTATGGCTCATTTTCCCATCTGCTGGGTTCCAGTTCTGGTCACTGGTCACTTCTTCAAATTCTTTGAGCAGCTGCTGGGACTCTACATTGATCTTCAGAATGCTGCTGTTTTTCCAAGAGGTTGCCGATTGGTGAGCTGAAGAGCTGGAACTTGCATCCTGTTGGATTCTTCCGGAGAAGGCTGGATGTATCTGTACAGGGGGCATCCTGCGTTTTTTGAAAGCTCCATTCATCAGTCTATCCGCATACTGAGGATCAATCTTCCAGAAACCACCTTTTCCCGGTTCATCTTTCTCTCGTGGTACCTTGATGAAGCACTTATTCAAGGACAGGTTGTGCCTAATGGAATTCTGAAATTTAAAAGGCAAAACTTAATATGAGTTGCTCTGGAAAGGGTGCTACATTTGTAGGGCAAATCCCTCCATTGAAATGAATGCAGTTGAATAATAGACCCTTTAGAATTACTACTATGTTCTGCTCCAAAAGAAAGGTGGAACACTGAAATGGTCTACAAGCTAAAACAGAGCTTGTCCATCAGTTAACAAGTATGTTATACATACCAAACTATAACGATCTGAAAATCATTGTCTTTAAGATTAAACACATATATTTTAATGAATGGGTTAAATTCATATCATGTTTTTAGTGGATGCCCTGCAAATTAACTAGGGTAAAGGCTATTTAGCCATTGGGTACAATCTCCTGCATATTGCAGGAGCTGAAATTAAAACATCTTAGGCAGATAGTCTAGTATTGAATCAGATGATAAATAGCCCTCTATCTGCCTGAGATGTTATCTCTCTGAGGAATTGGTTTTTGGTGGACTTTGCTTTTCTGTAATTTAAATTTCTAGAAGTCTTATAAAAATATTTTATATCACTAGCAACTGTTTTTAGTGTTAAACAAAAGAAAAGTTAAACAGAATATGGGTATCCAGTCTTTATCTACTTTGGATTATATACTTAGGATGGATTTTCCAGACTGATTCTCTTAAAATGCAAGTTAATAATGAACTATGGGAAAAAGATATTTTCCACCAGAATTATAAGTTTATATCTGTTTTAACTGTTTCAAGAACCTTCAAGCTGCAGTTCACTAATGTCTCTAATTCTCCAGAACTTTAAAAACCACTCTTCCTAAATTATAAATTGTTTAAAAAGATTAAGCAACTAAACAAATTTTGAAATTCAAATTAATGACTTGAGACAAATACTGAATTATAAAACATAAGGAGGATGTTACCTTCTCAACCTCGTATTGCTAATATTAGACTGACACTAGTATTCTTATTTTTCATACTGGCAAATGTATAAATTTCAGCTAAATAACTCACTCCTGCATTCATATTTTCTAAATATAATTACACGGTTGTTGTATGTTTCTGTACTCTATCGAAAAGAGGTGTTGTTTTAAAAAAAATTTCCCCCATATTTCATTCCTTACTAAAAAGTAATAAATGATTTAGTGTACAGAAATAGGAACCGCAGCCAGTATTATTATTATTTTAATTAAGGTTGTTTATGTCGTGTAATTTAAGGAAAATAAACCATCAATGAGATTTTTTTTCCTCTAATGGACCCTAAAATTGCATGCAAAAATAAAACTAAACCATGATTTGTTGAATAAGCCGGTGCCAATCTGGCAGAGAAGTAAAATGTTTCTGATTCGCCTGGCCAATTCTTGCTTTGTTCCCTTTTCTTCTCTTCTGCCAAAATACGGATGCTTCTCTACTTCCCAGCAGCAGTAAAGAACTAGTCTGCCAGTCTGTGTGTGAGAGGTGTTTTCTCCTTATTTTTGTATAGTGGGCTCTTTGCTTTTGTGTCTCTGGAGGTTTTGTGTGTGGTTCTCCGTTTAACCTCTCAATATATGTGAGAATGTGGCTGCCAGAAAGAATGAGAAATTTGGGGGGAAAACAAGCAGGCTTCCTTTATTCTGAGGAGTGGTTTCTCTGGTGGCTAATATGTACTGTCATGTACTTCTTCTCTATTTTGATGAGAAACAGGCTATGATTAAACATGCTACGTGCTACGATTAAACGAGTCATTCAGTCAGTCAATTTCAAGACCAGCTTTGCTGTAACACGCGGTTTGTTTTATCACCTAAGGTGGAGTCATTTAAAAAAAATCACATAAAGGTGATTTCCTCACTAGCTCCATAAAGTATCTTCATAGCATCACCCAAGGGTGGTTGAAGTGAATGTCTGTCCTTGCAGTTGTTACATTGTTTGGCACAATGATGTTTGTGAGATCCTAGAAGATGCTGTAAATTGCCAGAGAGAAAATGTAACTTTAGTCAAAACAAATCTTAGATTAGTGCCCAGTGTGAGCAAGCAAGGGCTCTCTGTTTTCAAGAGTTACTGATGAATTCATAGTTCTTGTTTCATTGATTTTAGGTATGCATAACTGCAGCAATTTACAATGGAATGGAAAACATAACCTTCATTTCATACCTTCAGTTTGGAAAAAAGCAACTTCCTTGCCTTCACAGCACTAGAGAGTAAGGTAGAAAGACTAGCTAAATATCCATTACAATTCCATGATAGCCAGAAAGCCAGCATTATCTAATTCTGCCCCTACCCCAAAATACATCTGGGCTATTTTAATGTGCTGTGGCCCTTCATATAAGAACGATGTACTGTTGGATTTACTTTAATACAGGACAGATACAGTTGGGCCTACATAAAGAACACTTACTTTACCCACTTGCTTGCCTATTGAATTGTATCTGCACCCCTCTGTTCTACCTCGGGCATCCAAAGACCATCTGGTCATTTCCTTGAGCTTTGCACAAAATGGTGCTCGCGTTCATATGCAAAATCATAATGATCAAGAACATCAATAAAGAGACCGGTCCTCAAAAGAGACATTTCTAATTTTACAAAAGAAAGAATGTGTCCAGAGTGGTAGAGCCCAATCCCCAAAGAAACTCAGTTATCCAGTAAATAACTTGGTCTTTCGGTACATAAAGCCAGGAGGGTGTTAAAAGAGATTGGATATGGTGAAGGATTGTGTGTGGATTTTTTTTTTAAATGTTGCCTAGATATCTTTATGCTTATTCATCCATAATCCTTATTGCCAAAGAGCAAAAGCGGGACTTGAATGCCTGGAGGGCTAAATAAAAACCTATTCCTCCAGGCTGAATTCCCTGGGTATCTTGGCTCTTTTCCAAAGCATACAACTGACTCCCACAGGAATCTCCTTCCATCTTCCCCCCCTCCCCCCCCTTGCTGATGGGAGGCCTGACATTTTGACTTGGGTCTGTATTTACAGGAATGGGAGTTAGTGAGACGGGTGAGAATGTGGACACCAGTGGAGGGAAGGGAGGGGGAAAGAGAGAGAGAGAGAGAGAGATTCTTGCAAACAAACTGATCTCGGATGAGTTAGAATTTGTTGTATAATGAAATCTTATAAGGGTCAGTGAATACTCCCTTCCCCTGTCTTAGAGTCATTTCAAATCTGCTGGGCCGTTCACAGCTGCTTGTGCCACAGCTAATTAGCATTTTTATAATTTTCCCTGCAACTATCAGCCAAAACCACCTGCATCTTTGCAAAGAGACACTGAATGTTATCAGAAAGAAAGGAAAAAGAGAGAAACAGGTGTCTAATCTAACAGGTTGCACATACCCATATGATCAAGCTTTTCTTTCCTTTCTCTCTCTGCAAATATTAGCGCTCACTTACTTTGTTTATTCTAAAAAAAACAGCATCTCTCTGTTCTGTAAAAATCTCATGGGGAACTAGGAGATTTAAACATCTGGCAATATGCTCAGAAACCTGGTACTGTACTTCATGTTCATTAATTTTTAGCTTTGCACTCTTTATTATTATTATTATTATTATTATTATTATTATTATTATTATTATTATTATTATTATTATTATTATTATTGATGATGTATTAATATTGTATTATTATGATTCCATTCTGCCAAGTTCATGGGTATTTTATAGGTTGATTTCCAGTTCTCTACATATATTTATTTTTAAATTTTAAACACATCTATCTATCTATCTACTTTATACAACCAAGTAACATGCTAAAAGTGAGTGTTGTACGTTATGATTCTTGATTCTTAACGAATGCATCTTTTCTTTTATGTATACTGAGAGTATTTACACCAAGACGAATTCCTTGTGTGTCCAATCACACTTGGCCAATAAAGCTATTCTGTTCTGTTCTGTTCTGTTCTGTTCTATTCTATGGGCAACATATAACAAAGCTACAACTGATTAATAATACTTATTATGTTACATGCAAGTGTTACTTTCAATATTGAAAACTGTAATATTATAAAAAGACTTCTCCAAGAATATACCAGATTTCTTTTAACCCCAAAAATGCATTATCCATAGTATTTATGATGGTTTTCCAATAAATTACTGAAAAAACAAATTATGTGACTCCAGAAATTTCATCAGATTAAAATTTTTATCACTTAAAGGTATATTGAATCTGTTCAGATTTAATTTAATTTTGGTTTAATTTAGGTTCAATTTAGGACAAGTATTGGGGAACTGGTACATTCTAGACTTTGAGACCAAAGGGAATCCAACATGGAGGGGAGCCAACATCATCTGGAGAATCTGTCATGCCCCTGTCAGAGTCTGATTCGGAGGGAGAGGGTGGCTCGTTGGCTGTGGAAGAAACTGGGGAAGGGCAAAGTCCGGCTGGGCAGAGCAGGGGATAGGTAGAGCAAGGCAGAAGAAATTCAGAGGAAGATCCAGGCCAACCCCCTCTTCATCCTAGGCCACACAGGGAGGAATGGACAAGGGAGCAATGTAAGTTGCGTGTCTTACGGGGGATGAAAGGGCCCTGATTCCCTTGATTAGCTGTAGCTGGGAACACAATGTTTAAAAAGGGAGGCTGCACACAGCAAAGTTGTTGGGAGCAAATTGTGAATTATCTGGTATCGTTGAGGCTTATCTGGATTCCTGGCATCTTCCCAACTGTGTGTGTTTTGCTGGGCTTTCAAGTCTGCAATTTCTTCTCCTGTCCTGTCAAGTTAATTACTGCAGCGTGGTTTGTGTGGATTTGTATTTACAGTTTGTATGTACTTTGTTTTTGGACTGAATTTCCTCCACTTAAAGACTGTTCTTGGGTGAGTTTTTTCTCCAGCCGAAACTAACCTGGACACTGGGGGCAAAGTTGGAGGTATTAAAAGGACACTTCTTGCTTATTTGACTGTGTTGCTTTTGTGCCATGCCCTGGGTCATCACAGGGCCATTTCTTGATGTAAGAACCCCTCTAATTAAGAGATTAATTTGATAATGATATATTTTGTTGGGAGAACAGTGTATCTAGAATTATATAAATACATATGTTTGTATATATGAATAATTGACAGTTGTAAGAAGCTGCTTATGGCCATATCAGGATATAGAGGGACATAGAGATGAATGAACAGAAAGTTCTTTTTAAAACTTTCTCAAAGAAATGCATCCTCTCAATAGGTCTGAAGTAATGTCAATCAGCCCAAGACATGACATTCCTGTATAAGTAGATAGATAAAACAAAGAAATTATCATAGATTTATCTTCAAAAACAAACTTAGGAATACATATCCCAGTAATATCACCGAATAAGAACAATTTACTGACATGTGAGTAATTTCTACACCCTTCTTCCATAGTGGGGAATCATAACATGAAGGAAAACAAGTGCATATATGAAATAGTTACTTTGTGATCAAGGTAGGAATTATTCAATACATTACAATGAGATCATTATTGGCAGCTTAGAGGCAACCATGGAATAAAGACTGGCCGGAGTCAATTGTTAGCATTTCAGAAATCGGGTTGAATTTCAACATCTGTGAGTGGGTTGGAGATAATTTCAAGTGGTGTGTTGGTATCTTTGAACAGGTAATGAATTGTATTACTCATCTTTGGTATCTTCACTATAATATCCAGCAACTGACTTACTACTACGGTAATCAGTTATAAAAAGAGAAAATGTTAGGGTTTTTCTCTGAGATTGTCTGCTATGCTTCAATAGGATTTTATTTCTGAGATTCAACATTACCACCTAATCTGTAATTTTATAAATACAAGGGAAATCAGATACAAGAATGCCTGAATGAAACACATTTTCTTTTGATTGAGCTTAATTGGGGATGGTGTAAAAATATTTTTGTATTATGTTGGCTTTTAAATATCCATCTTTTCCTGGGAAATGTGGGCAAATCACAGGCAGAAATCATATATACCAAACTAAATTATATTATCATTTGTTAGGCTTTGCTGTGCATTGTATGAACTTAGTGGCTCGGGTTTATGAATTATGTCTTAAAGTAATGTGTAAATCCATAATGACTTATTCAACAAACAGTTAATTTAATGTGATGCTTGAAATAAGCATTGAAATTACAAATAAACATCATGAGATGTACCATTCCTCCTTATATAGCACTCAGCCAAAATTGAATAAGTGCATTAGAAAAGACTTTGTGATCACCCCTTACTTGGTGTTTTCTGGTTTTCCTATTCATTTGGCTCAAGTATGTTTTAATAAATCCTATAGTGCCAAGTATGGGATTAGGTGTGACAGCTATGGTAGTAATTGGAGATTCAAAAAATATATGGCAGATTCCTATCTGTTCCTTCTGGGCACTCCTAACTACTGACTCTTTGATGGAAGTGGCTATGACCAGTACTGACATAAGATTCAACTGTAAGTTCAGTTGGCTTCTACATGGAATGAGGGAGGGTGCCATCTTGTTTTCTGCTTCAGGAAGCAAACCATTTTGGGCTGTTCTTGTGTCAGATAAAATAACCCATGCTTCTGTTCCCTTCTTTTTCCCCAGTATCTTTTCTCACATGCTTATTGCTAATTCTTTCACATCTTTCTTCATCTTCAGTCCTGTGGAACACCAGATGGCATCCAGCTCTTTGCCTTGTATATAACTGATATAGCCAGAGCTTTTGATCTTCCCCCTCCAATGGATTAAAGGAAGCGGGGTGGGGGGTGGGGGTGAAAAAGAATCTTCCTTAGGTCAGGTTACCAGTTAATGTATTATTTCCTTTCGCCTGTTCCATCCCACTCCATAACCGGCAAAGGATGATTGCTTTAAAGTTTTTTTTGACTACAATAGCATTAACCTGTTTTTTCCTGTTTATGACAAACCAAAATCTGGAGTATAGAAATTGAACACTAGAAGTTGAATATGGACTGAATATGGACTGCCATTTCCAGGTTCTTATGGGGGGTTGAGATATTTCAAGATAAAGCAGTATGTTAATGGCAAAGCTAACAGCCTTCTCTTTGGGCCAATGTGATATCAGCATTCAAAAGCCTAAACATTCTAAAAGCATTTTAGTTAACATGATGCTTCAATAACCTTTCCTAAAAATATATAAATACCCCTGGAAAAAAATCAACTGGCCTCTTTTCCCTGTAGATAGTTCTCTTATCTTTTGGATCTATATTTCTGACAGAATGAGTTAGAGGCATCCAGTATGTAACAGAGAGGTAATAGCCTCCAAGCAATTTTTAGATGCACAGTATCTTTGATTAGTTGACGTATTGTTCTAAGTCATAATGTGTATGTTTGGGGTTCAGTGTATTTTATAAACCCAACCAACATGGTTATAAATAATAGTTTATGGTGCAATATGTAGCATGATTCCAGTAAACTGTACTTTGTCTACTAATCAAAGACAGTTGGATAAGAAACCCTCAAGGTCCCCAAGAACTGCTCCATTGGCTTAAGGCCTACTCCAGTCTTTGCACAACATATTTTGGATGCATTCCAACAGAAGGGGAATCAGAACTGAAGTGCTTAAAGTTTGAAAATAATCTTGGTTTGCCTCCTATCTCATAGAAGGAAGGGTGATGGCCCACATTTTTTGTACCCCAATAGGTGGATGGAGTCTAAGACATATTCGTCTATACAATAAATAGGTCTGACCACTGTGAGAATCTGATTCCTTACCCTTTTGTAATTTTTTAAAATAAACCACACTTAAACTACTTAACTTTTGTCGTCCACTACATTTCATCTTTCCATTTTTATTTTTCTATTTATCCTTCATCATTTTCTCTTACACACTTTCCCCATATATTCTGTATATTGTCTACAACCCCCTTCCCAGGTAGGTTGTGGATTATGGGAATTGCAAGTTCAACATATGTACACAACTTGGGAAAGGATGTACTTGAACATATTTTTTATACTGGCATTCTGATTGTGATTGTCTGTTTTGTATAACTACAACAATTAGCCTCTAAATAATCCAGTGTTTATCATTCAGTGGGGAAGATAATAGATAACTACTACCTTTAAAGGAAGAACATGCCTGTTTACATTGTTCTGTTTTCTCATTTACAACAATCTCTTGTGCTACTAAGTGCTTACTCCAAGCAAAACACTTCAATAGGAAACACACCGAGCAACAGTAATTGTACTCAAGGGAGAAGGAAGCAAAGAAAGGTTCAGCATGAACACTAAGTGCCGTTGGTTGCTTTCAAATGTTATGGTGGGTTGTCAACAAATCTATTCTTCTCTCAGAAGAATGTCCTACAGCCAGAAAACTTAGCAACATGATTCTCATATAAAATGGCAAAATTGGAAAAGGGAAGTTTGTTACTTTTTGAGGAAACTTGACCCAAAAAGTAAAAGGCTAACTCTATAATTTAAAAATGCTAAAAACTGTTTGTGGATCTACCACAATTGTTTCTGAAGTCCCTGGACATGTAATTTTAGAAGTTGCTCTTAAGCACCATAAAATGTTAACCTGATTTATCTAGCATGCAAAGGAATCACACTGAAAGTCTTAGACAAATTGTCAGAACAATTATAATAAGGCATTACTACTGTTGGATGCATTTTGAGTAGAAAGCTAGTCATTAATTGAAAACTATTGAAGCACGCAGGTAACTTCCCATATATAAATAGGTTCCTTACTCAATAGACAGTTGCCAAAACAGGGATTTTCCTAGTCACCTACCTGCCATGTTGGGTCAGCATGCCGGAAATAGCAAAAATTATCAGTAATCCATTTATAGATGTCTGAGAGGGTGATTTTTGTTTTCTTGCTTGCTTCCATTGCCATACAGATGAGGGTAGCATAAGAGTAAGGAGGTTTCACATGAGGGTTGGTCTTGTAATCTATGTTTTCTAGTGGCTGGCCTTGTAGATGTGCAGTCCTGGATGTGGAAGAGGAAATTGGCTTGCCAGGGGTATGGGGCATTCCCATGCAAGCTGGATCGCCAGCAAGGGGAGAACATGGTGCAGCCGAGCCAGGTATTTTGTGATAACCATGAGGATCTGTGCTGCATAAGGAAGAAGATGACTTGCCCATGTTTGCATTGATGATGGAGAATTCCTGGAGCCACTGTAGACTGGTCAAGCTGTCGTCCAGGTTGCCTGAATCCATCACGCTGTTGTCCTGATTTTTTTCTTCCTCTGACTGCATATTTAGCCAGCCGTCAGTCATGCCAGTGGAAGCCAAAATAGGCAGGTCCAACATTCAGGAATTGTGGGAGAGCAGGAAGGGGGGAATGGGAAAAGAACGGGGAGGATGGGTAAGGGAACAATCCTGAAACAATAACATGAAGACGTTCAAGGTCCCTAACCACCAGGCAGCACACAGATGCATACTTGAGCAAGTTGCTTCCCAGCCAAATATCAAAAAGCACAGGAGCCAACTATATCCTTGATGTAACCCTAGAGAATGGAGTCACACCTCTCAAATAAAATAAAATCAGATCAGATCAGCCTTCTCAACTATAGTATCTTGCTTTGTATAGGCCAGGTGATAAATTGGGTGGAAATCACCCAATCCCATTTGTGGCAAGGTATTTTTCAGAACTGCCATGAGTTTGAATAGCTTTATTCCTACTGAAATATCATCACAACACAGAAACAAACATACCACTGAAATGATGATCCTTGATATTTATTTCTGAGTTGTAACAATTTTAATTTCAGAAATGATAGGCATTCCAAAATTGGCACCTTCCAACCTTTGCTAAAATAGTGATATAAATGAGTGATATAAATCAACATTTGTTTTTCATTTAATTTTTTTTCCTGTGAATTGTCTTTGAAAAAAGACAGAGATATGATAATTTATACATATACATACATACATCTATCTCTATCTATCTATCTATCTATCTATCTATCTATCTATCTATCTATCT